CGGTGGGGGTGACTTCGCGTCCAGTTTGAGGAGTGCCCCAAGGGAGGAGGTGGAAGGGGGACGCGGAGGGGGTCCTAAGGGGAGGCTAGGCGTGAGAATGGCGGAGCCGACCGGCGTTCCAGGCTTCGGCGCAGCCTCGGCCGTATTCGGCACCCCTCCGGTTGTGGGTGTTTTCGTCCCAGGCACCACCACAGGGGGTGCTTTCGAGGGTAACTCCCACGGCGGTGGGGACTTGGATTGTTTTTTTTTGGGGACAAACATGTCCGTCATGTCTAGTAGGGAGCCGCCACTACAGCTTTTTTCGGCTGTGCTACTATTGCTGATGATACCCTTTATGATAGCACCGGGTGCTGGGAGAGGAGCATTATTCAGTGGCAGCGGCGGTGGCGGTGGCCCTTTCACGGAAACGTCCATAGTCAACAAAGAATGTGCTTGGAATAGGCAACTCAATCAAACAGGAGAATAAAAACGGGAAAAACAGCAACATCGATAATCGACGTCCCCACGCAACTGTTTGACTGAAGTGAGGATTCAGAAGTAAAATTGAAGCCGATCAATTATTTTACCAACAATTTTTTCCATGCAAAAAAAAAATCCTTTTTTTAGATTCCCTGCTCTCTCTACGAGTCTTGCTTCACATACAATCTATGCCCTTTACATGCTTTTGCATCGGCTTTCACAGTCAATGATTTAGTCATTCATTTTAGTTGTTCTTCTTCACATTGGACAAGGAGACAACTAGCAAAAATATAAAAAATTGAATCTACTGTATGAGGGTTTAATCTATTTCATAGCAAAATTTCCTTTTTTAATGCTTTTTGTTTTGTGTGTCTATTCTATATTTATGTTCCTCTCGTCATTGGTGTGCGTATCCTTCACCACCCTTGCTCTCACACATGCCTTCTTACCGCTTTCTCACCCGTCAAGGCCTTTCCTGAGCTACATCTTTTCCACTCTAGTATGCGCAAAATATCGGCTTATGCGTGCCCGTGCTTAGAGTTCTTCCTACATATCTGTATGCATTTTCTGGTACTCATTGCTTTATGCACATCTAACGAGCCTTTAGTGATTCTTTAGGGCCCCCTGTGGACCTTGCCCCAGCGCTCTTACTACGTTGCAGAGGGAACACTTTTAATGCTGGAAGACGCTTCTGCGGCACTCGTTTCATGATATCTGGAGTGCGCAGACTTGGTTCAGCTCCGTAGTACCGCCGCTGGATATAGTTCCCGACGTTCGGATTGACCCACGAGACACCATTCCAGCTCTTGTCTTCTAAACCCGGCGGAAGCGATAGCAAAGCGTTAGTGCTCATTGCTTTATCTTTCATAGCATCCGTCCCTAAGTGAGGCCCACTCTGTGCCGATGGTGCGGTCGCACCCGCCCCACCACTACTTCCATCGAGAGCCGTCGCGGGTTTTGTGAGAGTGGTGGCGTTGGCTGCCCCGCTTACCTCAGACGGTGGCACTAGCGACCCCTGCTGCGGCTGGAGAGCACCACCTATGCCCAACGCGGAAGGGGCGGCCACAGCTAGTGCGTTGGACGTGTTTACTGCATTTATTGAGTCAGGAGCATTTAAAGGGGATGCAGAAAGCGGTGGCAAAGGTTCAAGGGCTGAGCCGCTCGAGCCCGCGGCAGCCGTAGCAGCCGTGGCGCCTGGTTTCGCTGCGGGGAGCGACACAGGTGGTATTGATAGTAAAGTTTGTCCGTCTGCGGTCATTGACATCTCTATTGGTGGGAGGGGCGGCAGCGTTGCTTTGAGGCGGTCCGCTGCACCCGGCACAAGGGCGTTTAGCTCGTTATGTGCGATTCCCAGAAGGTTTACCTGGCTCTTTAGGTCTTGCTCAAGCCGAGCAATTTCGTCTTTGCGTTTCTCCAAAGTATCTGTTTCCTTAGTCACACGTTCCTCCAGGATGGGAATCTGTTCTTGCAACCTCGTGTACCACTTCTGTAGCTCCGGGCCATCAACCCATATTTGACTGGGTGGCCGCTGCGATAGGGGTGACCCTTGCGACGCGTCGCGTTCGGTGTCATGTGCGCGCTTCCGAAGCTCTGCGATGTGAGCGGCGATGGAGTCGCGGAACTCATGATATGGAGTTGACCCGGACAGATACCACGCCGCTTCGCTGAAGTATTCATGGTCGCGCGTCATGTGGACGTACTCGTCTTGATACCAGCATCGAACGAAGCCACGGGAGTCCGCCGACCAAACCACAAAGCGACTAAGTTGCGCTGTGTGGGTGATTTCCATGACTCGCCTCGTCGCGTGATCGCCGACGCGCAGCAGCAGCGCTGCGGTCTGGGCACAGAAGACCCCCATCGCGCCGTCCGCGGCGCCGACGTAGACCCGCCCGCCGACTCCCCGCACCGTGCTCACCGCCGCCGCAAAAGGCCGGAGGACGTCAAAGGCCTCACCGGTGTGGAGCCGCCAGCGGACGAGCGTCCCGGCGGTGTCGCCGGA